CACTGGGTAATAATGATGTATCAATGCAGGTTCATCAAATGCAACAAATGTACCACTCCGGTGGGAGGTGTTGCTAAAGAAGGTGGTTATGCATATACAGGGGGAGGAGATATATGAGAAATCTCTGTAACTTCTCCTCAGCTTTGCTGTATATTTTACAGTGCTTTAAAAAATGAACTCAATGAAAAAATCATAGGTTGGCAGTCATAATTTTCAACTATATATATATTTAAATATTTTAATAATTAATATATCAAATATATTTCTTCTGAAATACATGCATATTATCCTTTTTATGAATGGAATAATATTTGTCAGTTTCATAATAAAAGAGTAGAGATTAGGAATTAGAATAAAGTACTATAATTTATGATCACAGTAATATAAATTATCATAAGTTGAAAGACTTCATGAATGCTGAAACAGTATAATATTAGTTTATATTGTCAAGCAGTGTTACTATGTATGTGATATGTCTTATACCTTAAAGTAGAAATGAACACTTCAAAGAGGACAAAAAAAGGAAACTAAATTCCCAGGTTCAGAAGCATTGATATATTTTATAGGTGAAACTTTTTCTAATTATTTATTTATCCTGAATTTTCTTTATTCTTGAAATAAGTATTAAGGAAATATAAACATAACAAAATTATATTTTATTATCATCATTATAAATAGACAAAATAAAAATATCTGAAGCTCAAGCTTGTAAGTGATAGAAACATTTTAGCAGATTCTGTGTTTCAAATCAGTTAGTAAAATGACTATCAAATTGCTTAAATGATAGTTATAAGATATTAGAGGTGCCAATAATTAATAATACATATAAAACTGTAGAGATAACATGTATGCAGAAATAAGATAGCTTATATTTATCCTATAAAAATATTATACAGTCATAAAATAAAGACTGCTTGTTTTTACTGTGGAAACTAAAAGGATTTTTACTTTCATAATGTGACATCCTGACTAGCTGATAGCAATAAATTCTGTATTATGATGTTTTCTTTTTTCCCCTGTGGATATGTCACTTTCACTATTTAAAGCTGAGAATGCTTAACATGATGAAGGTTGTTAGGAGAATAATATATAAACTATATATCCCAGAAAGTTGGTCTCCCTCGACCCTTTTGCTCATTGACCACTGGCATATTTGCCACAATGCCAACATGCTGAGGAGCAATATAGTTGTCTCCCCTTATCTGTAGGTTACACATCCCAAGGCCCTCATTGAATGTTTAAGATCTCATATATCAGAGATATACATGATATAGAACATCAGATATCATGATATAGAACCCTATACATATCTTGTATTTTTTCTGAACATACTTATGGCAAAATTTAATTTATAAATTAAGCACACTAAGAGATTGCCCAAACAGAGTAGAATGACCTGAGATTTTATCATGCTGCTCAGAATGGTGGACAGCATAAAATCTAAGAATTTTTAAATTTTGGAATTTTCTGTTCAATACTTTTGGACCACAGTTGACTGTGGGTAACTGAAACCACAGAGAGTGAAACTGCAGATACAGTCAAAGGGATACTTCACCTAGCAGTAAACAATAAGGATCTTAAGATTGAAATGCTGTATATTTTGAATCAATCGCATCTTTCAACCTGAAAACAATGAGATTTAATTTGGATAGTCCTGTTTGGGCTTCCCAGGTGGCTCAGTGGTAAACGATCCTGCCAAGACCGCAGATGTACCTTCCATCACCCCTGGGTCGTCAGGAATATCCCCTGGAGTAGAGAAAAGCAACCCACTTCAGTATTTTTGCCTGGAAAATACCATGGACAGAGGAGCCTTGTGAGCTACAGTCCATGGAGTCACAAAGAGTCAGATATGACTAAGCATGCACACACACTCATGCATTTTCAGAAAAATCTATGGAGTACAATGTAATGCATAATATGTCACTTCTGATATATTAACCAAGGTCCTTTGTGTTTTAATAAAATTTAACATTCCCCACACTGTACATTGTTAAATGTTTAGCTGTGCTGATTAAAAATAAAATGGAAATCTCAGTGAACTGAGAGTACAAAGGGTGCTGAAGAAAGTAAAAATGTTTTCATTACAAATGTTTTGAATGAAAATATTTTTTAAAAGATGATTTTTCTATGTAAAAATAGATTTTGTCTCTTCTACTAGCTTGAAATTTCATATTTAATATTTATCCACATAATGATAATCCTGAAGAAGAGAGCGAACTATTAAATCATTCAACAACGTGCTATTTTTTAAATGAATGCTAGTGTGAGCAACAAGTAGTCAATAAATTTATATAAAATAAAGAGCAAATGAATATTTTTAAATTTAAGCCACCCATAAGCATTCAGATGTAAGTCCTTTTGAATTTTTATCATTTATCATTCTAATGTTCTTTCTCACTCAGAACACTCTACCAAGTGACTTCTTTTAATTGTGGTAAAAAAAAAAATTGCATAAGATTAGCTATCTTAACTATTTTTAGTGTACAGTTCAGTAGTATTAAGTATATTCAGACTGTTGTACAATTTTAAAATCTAGGCCATCTTGTTCTTCACAACTACAGTAATTCTGGTAATATCTGTGAATTGCTTATCTCTCTGTAAGTTGTTTAAAATATATAAACTTATTTTTAGTTATATTAAACTTTTTGAAAAAAAAAGTAAAATTGTTGCAAACTATCAACTTGTATATGAGCAACACGACAGAAATATTTTCATATTTATTTGTTATATTACTATAGTGAAGAAAACCATGCTTCTTTTTGGATATAATATTTGGATATAACTTCTGTAAATATATCTGGACAGTGTTTCCTTACTATTTATGATTCTCTACAACTTCCGTCATAATATGTGCTACATAGGAGCCACAAATGGCTCAAAGTAGATAGTACTCACATATTTTATTATCTACAATAATTTACAATTTAAGGACCGTTAAATCAAACCTTCTATTAGCAGCTCCCACAAGCTCTAATATTTATGAAATTGTTGTGTTAACATATAATACACCAAATGAAGATATTTAATTTAGGAAAGAATCAACTCAGGAGAAATGTGTGAATCATGCTGAGAAATATTCCAGTGTTTCAAAGTTAATGTGCCCTGAAATTTTAATCTGTGATAAAACTATATACTAAGTTTTATAGCACAAAAAGCACTGATCCAAGAAGAAATTAAATCAAATACTTTTATTTCAATCTATTAGCATTGCCACCTGTATGTATTGGAGTCACTCATTACCTAGACTTTGAAAACCAGTGCTTAAGGTAAAAATTACGAATATTACAACTGTTCTTTAAATTCCAGTAGAGTTGCTAAATTAATGGTAAACTAAGCATCTTTAAGCATACAGAGTTGAGTTTTCCCATAGAATATATATATAGAAAAACATTTCATTAGTAGATAACAAAATAAAAAATGTGGTTTGTTTACCAGTTTTAAAATTCTTTTCTCTCATATATCTTGTTTTAGTATATTATATATTTGGGGGTGGTCATGGTGGTGGTGGAATAAAGATGCCCAAAGACAAGTTATGGCCTTGTGCTACAAGGCAGCTCTAGTAGTCTACCTAAAATTTAGACAAATATAACATTAAATTTGGTAATTAGGTTTTGTAAAGCTGAAACTGTGTGACCCAGAAACTTAGAAAAGTGAGATCAATGTAGAACAAATCTAAATCATTTTATCTCTAACAATGAAAAACAAAGGACTCAGGTTTCAAACACAGGTCCATCTAGCAAAAAGCCTACAAGCTTAATCACATCCACATTTAAATCATTTCAAATATAAAATAATAATCTGAAAATTCAATTTTTAGCTTTGTCTTTCTAGTGGTAAAAAAAAAAAAACTAGAAGTCTTTTCTACAATTATTTTATGCACAAATATGATTGCTAACAATCATGATTTTCTAACTCTTCAAATATGTTAATACATTTGATATATTTGTGAATATTATCTTCTATGAGAATTAATCTATTGAAGTTGATTATTCCAAATGACTTTTTGTACAACAGTTCTAGGTGAGGATAAATGGAGTCTTGTTTTCACTTTCAATCTATTTCTTTCCTAAAATTTATGCTAAAGTCAGCTAGAAAATAAAATCTATAGGACTATTAGTATATGTGAAGAAATTCATTCAGAAATTGTTGAAAAGAAAAAAAAAACAGATATATTGCAAAAGATTTAAGCATTAAAGCCACTGAGTTAAAAGAGTGTGCAATTTATGGGGTACAGTAATATGAAAAGTTGGATACTCTAAACAACACAAATTTTGGATAACACAACCTACTATAAATAACATAATATTTATATCCTGAATACATACTTTGCATTACATTATGTCAAATGTATATGACAGACAAAGGGATTATCTTCAGAGGATACATGTTGCAAATTCAAACAGTTTTAACCCAGGAGACATTAAAAGTTAAACTTCTTAGCGGGTCATAATAGAGCGCTAAACAGGGACAACTAGTGAAGTGTGCATGACTAAAGGGTCAGCTGGCAGACACACAAGCGCCTGTGTGGGGCAGTATTGCTTACACTAGGTTTTCTAAATTGAGCTGAGACCAGCTGGGAACCATACTCCCACCCTTGCAGCGGAAGGGCTGCTACTGTTTTAGCAAACTTGGACTACATAAACCTATGCCAAATCTATCTTCGGTGATAAGACCTGTCTATTGATGCTGTAAAATTTTACCCATTGTATCAAATAAAGAGTAGATAATCGATAGGACCTGATTAACAAGGCAATTTGAGCATAGCTATCAAATGGGGCTGAGGATATCCTCAAAATCTCTACCTCAATGTGACTCATTCCTTTGATTCTACATATGTCTACAACAGCTTCTTTCACTGTTATAATACAATATCTCTTCTTCTTACACTTATAGTATACTTTTGGGTCGTTGGAGTATATTACATGGATATTTGCATATTTAAAAATATGTTTTTAAAAGAGACCCAAGTATTTCACACCACATGTTGAAATGTTTTACAGATTTGTGAAGCTGGAAATCATTTCATCAATGTAGTGCTGGCTCATCCCAGTCACACAGGTTAGTCACTTTTTTAATCTTCTCCAGAGTGAATTATGCTAATTATTATTTTTTAAAACAATGGTTAGAAATACTTAAGGTTTGTGTTCCCCAATTCTTGTTCTATTATGTCTAATTTTTGAAAATATTTGAACTAAATTATAGTCCCTAATTATGGTTTCTCTAAAATGAAGTGTACATGTAAACACACACACACACACTTTCTTTAAGCATATTAAAAAAAATGATTAAGATGTAAATAAGTGTGAAATCCATTGATGATTATCCAAATTTCTTAGCTTAACTTTCAGTCTTAATCTGATTTGGACAATATCTGTTACAATCCAGTAGGATTGAAAAAAAGTTCATAAGCTTTTTCAATAAAAGTGAATCTTCTTTGACAAATTCAGTGGCAGTAGAATAGCAATACCTGAGAGATCATTGAATTTAGTACTTTGCTAAAAGATTTGAAAATATTTACAATGCTTAAAAAGTTCTGTGGACAGAGGAACCAGGTGGGCTAGAGTCCACTGAGTGAACACACAGAGTGTCTATATAATTTAAAGGCATTTTTGGTAAATCAATACTCTCATTCAGGCTCAATTATAGCACAATGATTTATTTTACAGTGTGCATACTTTAATTTTAATTTCAAATAGCTGTGGTCAACATTTGGGTTTCATGTTTTTATTATCTAATTGCAAGTGTGTTTGTGTCTTCAAGTTTGTTTTAACATTGACCTGAAATTCTTAACATTTTCTTGAAAGTTTCTAGCAGGCTGGAGAAGTAGATATATGAGTATGTTACAGAATATTTTTTCACGTAATACATAAAATTACAAAGGAAATTTATATTAGACTATATATGAACATATAAAAAGCTATAATATAGCATATAATAACTTTTTATTATAATATTCACATATTTTAATAACTTTAACTTTTGCTTGAGTTGATGACAGCAAATTATACATTTGGATATATAAAACAACTAAATATGATTTGAAACTTTCTGTACTTTCTCTTGCAGAAAAAAATTTAACATAATAATACAAATACTACTGTGGTTTGTTGTCTGCATTTGCATTGAAGTAAAGCCTACATTTAACAAAGAGGTTGTATTTTCATCTGACCCAAATACATAGATCTACTGGTTTCTCTTTGGAAGTATGTAAAGTCCAAATGAAAACCTTCTGATGGTCTGATTTTTTTTTTTTTTAAGCATAGAAGCAGATCACAATGCAATTTTATAAAAATATTGACATTGACAAGCCTATGAATATAAAAAATTTCTTCTTTACTCTGAGCCTCTAACATGGTGACTTGCTCAAGTTTCCTCACCTGGAATATGCTGTCATTATTTGAAAATTTTAAACCATCACATTCTCAAACTGAAAATGTTCATGTGAGAAAGACCTGTGTGTGTGTGTATTTACTCCACTCTTTAACTTGCTTTGTATGTCGCTGTTGCCAAGTCAGAAGCAAATGTAATCTCTCCTTGGTTAACTGGCTTGGTCTTTTGCCTTGAGACTCAGAACACTTTTCTTTATCACTAAAGTCTATTAATTTTGTACAGAATTTCATAGGATGTGTCTTAGAGCTTATAATTCCAGATCCTGTCTGACTCTTTATGACCCCATGAAGTGTAGCCCACCAGGTTCCTTTGTTCATGGAATTCTCCAAGAAAGAATAGTGGAGCAAGTAGCCATTTATTTCTTTCTCCAAAGGAATCTCCCCATTCCAGGGATAAAACATGGTTCTCTCACATTGCAGGCAGATTCTGCACCATCTGAGCCACCAGGGAAGCCCAGTTTTCCCAGAGACATCATGTAATCTTTTAGATGGTTGACTCATGATCTTGTTTAAGTTCTAGAAAGTTTTCTTGTATTATTATTCTTGCATTATAGTTTAAAATTTGATTTGTTACATTGTGGACGGTGAGAAGATGGTGGGGTGAACATGTTACATCTGCTTCTATTTTATATTTCAATCACTTTCAATGTTTAGCTTTTTGTTCATTTTTTTTTTTTAATGTTTTTGTTCATCTACTAAATATCCCCTATTCTATTGATCATTCCACCCTTAGGCAAACTGAAATATGTTCCACCCATATTACTAACTTTTTTGTTTTTTTCTTTTTCTACAATTTAATTATTGAAAACAATCAACTCTTTTTCCTTCCTGTTCTACACATATCTTTTTTGAGTTCTGGGATTTCGTCACAGTTACATTCTCTGTTATCTGCAAATGCTTCTGTATGTTAAAATGTTTCTCTTTTATTTTGGGGAGGATTCTTTTAATCACTTGGGAAAAATGCTTGCTTTATATTTTATTCACATAAAAGCTTTATGTGAATATTGATCAAATTATGTTCATTTTAAGTGTATGGATTGTCCTTGAACAGAAATAACAAATGTTTTCAGAGATGTGGTGATGAAGTGAAGTCTCTAAAGGATAAAGTGTGCTCTGGAGGACATGGGATGTTTCATTGTGTCTTTTGATTCTCTATATACTCTTTTGTTTTCTAAATTTCTTAATTCCTGGAAATGTTTCCTTCTTTCTTTCCCCTCTAATCCTTCAAGCATCATCTCCTTTCTTGGAAGCAGTGTCTTTTAAGATGAGAACCTCTGGACTCATTACTCTCAAGTCATTGCATGTTCTTTCTCTATATTTAGTGCTCCAATAATATCAAGTGTCAGACCTTTTCTGAGAGTAAGACCTCTTCTGACCATGAAATATAGACATCCATCTACGCACACACTGCATTCTTTCTCCTTACATAAAATGTTTATCCAACTCTCCATTCCTGTGTCAGCTCTAATTGAGTCTCTGTTGCTTCCAGATTTTTATTTCCCCACTTAAGCATTCATTGGAATTTATACTAATATCTCTATATCTTAGATATGCTGTAGGCATGAATAATGGGCGGGGACTATCTTTTACTGACTGTTTAAGCAAGATCTACAAAACGTGTTTGCCAGGAAACAACAATTTCATATAGAACAAGTGTTCAAAATCTTATTACAAAGTACTGAATAAAAAAAAAAAAAGAGAGAGAGAGAGAATTTATGCCAAGTAGGAAACTGAGCTGGGAAGATATCTCAAGGATGGTCTCAGCCTTTTTGTTGGGTTATCTGAAACTAGGGCAATCCTTCTGAATTAGCCTAAGTTGGAATGACTAGAAAAAATATAGATTGGATTTGGGGTTCCCTGAGAATGAGGAAATTATCTTGGATAAGGCAGCCCTCTTTTGTCAAGGCCATACTTTCAGATGGTATACTGCTCAAAAGCTTTCTGCTACCAGTAGAATTTTTTTTTCCATTTATTTTTATTAGTTGGAGGCTAATTTCTTTACAATATTGTAGTGGTTTTTGTCATACATTGACATGAATCAGCCATGGATATACATGTATTCCCCATCCTGATCCCCCCTCCCACCTCCCTCTCCACCTGATCCCTCTGGGTCTTTCCAGTGCACCAGGCCTGAGCACTTGTCTCATGCATCCAACCTGGGCTGGTGATCTGTTACACCCTAGATAATATACATGTTTCAATGCTGCTCTCTCAAAACATCCCACCCTCACCTTCTCCCACAGAGTCCCAAAGTCTGTTCTGTACATCTGTGTTTAAAAGAGAGATATCAGTGGGAAATTTACACAGTTTTCACTGCTGCACATGGCCTTCATCTAACGACTGATTTGCACCAGTTTTATTCTTCACAAATTTATAGATTCTCTCCATCACCAACTGGCACAATTAACATTTCAAGGATTATCTATGGCATGATGTGGACACTCACCTGAAGGGAGCTTATCAGGACATGGATATGGCCCTTGTCCTTGGGTGGAGGGAAGATCATGAGATGTCCAAATACTAGAGGCAAAATATCATCTTTGTACATCATTATATAATAGCAGGTTATATTTAAGTTCCACACCTTAACTTTTTCCATCACTGATAAGTTTAATATGTATAATCTGTCTGATTATAAGTCCAAGGGCAGGAGTGCTTACACTAAAACTTGAAACTGCTGCAATTTTCTGCCTGGAAACCTACTAAATTTTCATAGCTTTTGTGCTCCATGGTGTACAGTTCAAAGATTTCCTTGGTGTGTAATATGCTACCTGCCAAACTGGAAAAGGCCTGTAAGACAGTTTGCTTCCTTCTTAATGATAGGAGGTACAAGCTGCATTATATTTTGTCTGTTTTGGTGCCCCACAATCATTTGGCCCCTAAATCTTTGTAGTGTTTATTAGGAACTCCCACACTTTCTGTGGACCACACATGTCTTAAAAAGGCCACCAACATACTAGCCACTTACTCATTCAGTATGAACAGCATAATGTTATTGATACAGTGATTTACAGTGAGATACGCAACCAGCCTGAACTTTCTTAGTCTGTTTTATGGCAAAGGGTGAGCCTCAGGCATGAAAACACACCCAAACAGGCTTCCTTCCCAAATTGGCCTTGAACATACACTCTATTTACTTTCCCTTCCCTGACTGGTCACCAGTACAAGCCCTAATTTGCTTGGGGAATTGCCAGTCAAGCCCCAGGAACCACCAAGTGGAAGAGACAAAAAGTGTAAAAAGGGAAGCCAAAATAGTTGAGAACACTTCTCCAGAAGTTGGTCCACTCTCCTGTCTTGAGAGTGTACAGCATACCTCCTTCTTAACAAATCTTGCCTGTTTGAGTTCTAATTAGTGTGTCTTACAACTCTTTGCTATGATGAGACAAGAACCTCCAGAGAATACTGCCGGCTTAATAAATCCTGCCTGCTTGAGCTGTAGCTAGTCTGTCAGTCTAATTCTTTGATATGAGGACACAAGAACCAAAGGGAAAAAATGACCTGGCAGTAATAGGACTTAGCTACTGAGTATGCATGCATCAATTGCAATGGTGGATAATATGTGATAAGTCTGCAGTTCTCCACTGTCACCCTTCAAAATACATCCGGCTTCTGCAGAGTTTGGGGAAGTGAATTAAATGATGATATAATGAAGAATATCATACAAGCATT